TAATCCTGTGGCAAGTTTGGCCCATGGAGGAGAATGGGAGCAGGAGGCACCACGGCAGCATCTCTGAACTGAAAGGTGGTTTTCAGGCCGTGGCTTATTGACAGGCAGTGTGCATTTTTCCAGGGAAAGCAGACATGCTTTTGGCATGCACGAAAGAGCATTGATAGAAAGCTGGTTTTCTGCTGCAACTCGATGGGCTGGAAACGTTTTGCCCAGTCCTCCAGGAGAGGGCCCTGGCCTAGCTGCACTCTTGGCTTACTGCCCTTTTGCTGAGAAGTAGGGGCCTGTTCCTCCACTCAGACCATGTTGCTCTTGTGGCTGCCCCATCCTCTCTGGAGGTCCCCTTGCTGTGCTGTGTGTGTGATCCTGGGGGTGGCCCTCAAAGTAACCAGCCTGCACATCTCCCTCCCTCCCCAGGTATCGATGAGGATGAGGTGATTGCAGAGGAGCCCAGCGTTGCTGTCCCTGATGAGATACCCCCACTAGAGGGAGAGGAAGATGCATCCCGCATGGAGGAGGTGGACTAAAGGGGGCCATTCCCTCTCCAATCTTAGCTCCCTGCATCATCTCTGCTTGGAAGGGGCAGGGCCTGGCCTCTACAACTGCTACTGACTCCTCGGCTCCCCTAGTGTTGTGTTTCCCCACTTGTTTCCCCCTGTCAGTAGGGGGTAGGGTTGCAGGGTCCCAGCCCTGTCTGGTCCATCTGTCTTTCTGCTTGTGTTGAACCAGCTGCTTGGGGCGGCAGGTTGTGCTGATGGGTTCTGATTTTTCCCCCATGGGGGGGTCTTGTGCTGCTCCTGGGCACCAAGCACCCACCCTGCCCCAGCTGGGGTGAGCACTGAGCTTGAGGGTCCCTGCCCCCTCCCCCCCAAGCACAGCAGGGAGCCCAATACCCAACCCCCTGGCAGCTGCCTGCATCCTAGGGTAGGATGTTGTATTTTGTCGGCCGTTTGGTTTTTTGTTCTACTGAAATTAAAGTATCAAATAGAGAATGCGGTTTACACAGAGCGGCTGCCTTGTCTGTGCCAGCTCTACACTGTGGGGAGACTGGGCCCCAGTATTTCCCACTGGGGTGGTGCCCAGGGTCCCTGCAGCACCCAAAGGGAGTGATGGCAGGTGTGGGGGGGAGTCATGGAGAGCAGTGCTCTGTGGAGGCTGAGTGCTGCATTCAAAACGCTGCTGTGCTCGGCCCTGCTCTCTCTCGGAGAACTGCTCAGACCAGTTGCAGCCCCAAGCGCTTGTAGCCCCTGCCCTTGGGGTCAGTTTAATGAAAGGCCCTGGAGCAGGAGCTGAGGCTGGGGCTTGTGATGCTGTTGCCCCTGCTTAGCACATGTGTATCTGGCTGCTAGGGTGGCACTTGCTAAACTTCAGGCTGTGTACCAAGTGCAGGGAACTGAGTGTGTCCCTTCAAAGGGAAGGCAGGGTTTGAGGCTGCAGCTCCTAGCCACTTCCATAGTCCTGCTCTGTTGCTTACCCTCCTGCTCCCATGTGGAGGGCACCTACCTCACTTTGACAGTGTCTTCCTGAGGAGCTGGGTTAGCTCACCTCTGCCTTTTTCAGCAGTGGGCAGCTGCACATGTGCAAATGCTGTGGAAGGCTAAGGCAGAGGCCAGCAGGAGTCCTGCCTCTGTTGCGATTTGTATAAGTCTTGTCCCAACAACAGAACTAATCTACACTGCCCCAAAGTCTCTGGGCAGCAACCTGTGTCCTCAGCCTGCTCTCCCCAGGAGCTTTAAGATCCCATTCCAGTTTGCACAACCAGCAATGCCCTTAATGGACCTAGAATTCAGGGGCTTTCTTCCTGGGCTGACCTGGATCCTCTGAGGTGGTGGTTGAGTATCTACTGGTTAAGCTAGCAGTTGCTTTCCTTGCCTGGGCAGTCTAAAATCTACACAGTGGAAGAGTTGCTTCTGTGTTCTCCTGGGCTACCTTCTTGGCTCTGATGATCTTGGTCCTGGAACACACATGTGGAGGAAGTGCCAGCTCTGACTTGACTTGCTGCCTTCAGCAGGAGGCCTAATGGAGCCAGTGTGGGATGAGTTCACCCTTCCCCCTGGGCCATGTGGCAGGCTGGAGAGCTGCTCCTGGGTTGGGAGTGTCCCTGTGCTTCTCTCCAAGGGGGTGGAAGAGGTGCAGGACTCCAACCTTGCCACTAAGTGGCACCCTCTTCCTGTCACAGCCAAGGCCCAGTGGTGGAGCCAGCACACTCCTGCGTGAGGTAGTTCCTGTAGGTTGTCTTCTGGGGGTTAATTCTCTCCCCGTAAACCCTGTTGTAGCTTGCTTGGCTACCCCTTCCTCCTTGTGGGGCAGACTGAGAGCCAGGACCCAAATCAGATGGATGGACCTTCAGGGGTGAGCCAGCTTGGGGGAGGGGGCTAGTAGCTGCTGGACCTTTCTTAAGCTCTGGCCCTCAGGGCTGCTGGTGGTCAGAGGGCAGCTGTGAGGGGCTAACTGATCTAAGGTGTGCTGAGTGGGGTGGAGTCTGGGGAAGAGTCCAGCCCTATCCTCAACAGGAGGGGTAGGAGTTTTAGCAGTAGGGGACTGGGAGTAAAAGCCTGGCTAGGGGCTGGTGGTTACCTACCCTCCACTTTCTGTGGTTGTTTGCTCTCTATATCCTACCACCTGCAACTCCAGCACCTGCCTCTGCTCAGCAGGAGCCTCCCACCATTTGCTTCTGGGCCGTAGGTATAGTAGGGCTGTAGGCACCTGTCTCCTGCTTGGTCCCTCGAGTGGGGAAGTAGGGGAGCAGTGACCAGCTCACAGGGGGGAGAACTCTGTCAGGTCTGGAAGCTATAGGGAGTCTGGGTGCATGGGTGGGGTGAGGGGTTGGCCACAGCTGCCTGCAGGTTTCTGAGGACTTAGCAGGAGCTTTGCAAGGTTTTGTCAGAGGAAGAAGTAGCACCACCAGCCACCTCTATGGTCCTCAGTGCCCAGTACACTTATACCTACCCCAGCTGCAGCCCCCATCAATTCTGTCCACCTGAGCCAAATGCTTAAGTTCGTTACTTGCCAGAAGCCACAGCCTGTGCCATACTTGCACAAAATGGAGCTATCTCCATCTTCAACATAAAGGAGCAGAGCCTACAGCTCCCAGCATGCAACAGGGCCTGTGCCCCAGAGTATAGCCCTGGGGTTGTGGGCTGCATTGCATGCTGGGAGTTGTAGTTCTCCATTTTTATAGTGGAGCATGCTCAGATGTTCAGGGGGCTTTTGCTGAACAGCAGCCCTGGCCCAACAGTTGTGGGGGGGGAGGCCCATTTTCTTCAAACACAAAATATTTTCACATGCAAAAAAAGGATCCATTCCAAAAACAAATGTCACTTCCCCCTCTTAACAAAACATCAACATATAACCCCCCCCTTTTTCCAGGGGCAAAGTGGAGGGGGTGAAAAGGGTGAGTCAAGGTGGGCAAACTTGGGCAAAACCACCCCGTGCCGAATTCCTCCCTTCTTCTACAGCACCTCTTGTGGGTGACTCACCAACCCAGCCTGCCACTGCCCTGCAGCTTCCCCATGCCTAGGAAGGGGCACTGAGCTGGGGACAGGGATTGGTAGCCTGAAGCCACACTAAAGTGGCTGCTCTCGCCTAGGCAGGCTATTACCATCAGCTGCAGGGGACATGCTCTAGTTTGCACGACTGCACTATGGGAGAGATGGCTGAGCAGGTGAAGGCAGTTGTACCTTAAGGAACAGGGGCATTCTCACACTGGATTTCTGTCTCTGACAATGGACAGTACCAGATGCTTCAGTGGAAAAGGTAAAGAAACCAGAAAGGACAACATGCCCACAGGCAGTGGCTGGCATATGCTCTGAAGCAGGGGGCATTATAACCTTTCTATTTTTAACCGCCAGTCTGAATGGGGCAGTTCTTGTTATCCATACAAATGCCTACTGCTTTTCTGAATTCTGCTATGCTCTTCGCCACTGTAGAACATTGTGGCAGTGAGTTCCACAAACAGTCACTACCTGAGTGTCTCCTTTTATCCAGTTTGAATTTGGCACCTTTCAGTGTCATATTGGTATTTTAACAAAGGCTGAAGAGCAATGCCCAACTTACCTTCTATAGACCACTCACGTCCTCGCTTTTCATCTTTCCAATAAAACAGCCCTGTGTTTTTCAGTCTCTCCTGCCGTGGAAATCTCACCCAGTCTCTTGAGTATTCTTGTCACCCAGCTCTGACCACCTGCCTCTCTGGCTGCTTAATCCTTTCTGAGAGCAGGCAACCACAAGTGAACAGTCATCTGAGCACTTTATGGAACAGTGTTAGCCTAGCAGAGAGGCTCTTCCCTGGCTCTTCAAACAGCTTCCCATTCTGCTGGCTCTTGACTAACTGCTCCCCCCAGCAGGAGGGACTACACTCCGCACACCTTCCTCCTCTAGGGTGGAGGGTCTGAAGCTGGGGTTTGGCACAGAACACAGCTCCATGAAGGCTTTACTCCCTTACAGACTGTTACAACAATGGAGACTCTGGGTGGCAGGTGCTCAGCAGGGCTTCGAGTGGCCCCTACCCAGTTGTGGAAGGCAGAGCTAGAAGAGGCCAGGGCTGAGCAGAGCATACTGCCCAAGAACAAGACATTCATGCAGCCAGACTCAGGGCACAGAGAGCTAACAGCTGCCCTCCCATCCTACAGAATCCCTGCACCAGCCACACAAACAGGGACAGTGAGCAGCCAGCGTGAGCAGAGGGCTCAGGTTGGAACACAGTGCAAGCCCAAAGCCCCAAACCTGGCTCTGCCTACAACGGAGGGAGGATGGCCTTATGGGTAAGGCCCTAGACTAGTCTAGGTTCAGTACCAAGGTCCACCCCACCATTCCTGGGTGACCTCAGGCAACGCCCTGGGGCTAATAATGCTACCCGGCCTCCCCGGGGGAGGTGGTGAGACAGTCAGTGTGCCCGCCGCTCAGCCACAACAGCATCCAAGTCCCCAGCCAGAGAGCGCCCAGGAGCAGTGCCTTCCCCCCCATGCGTTCAGACCCCAACATTCCACCCCGGGACACCGTTTGCAGCAGCTTTTTAATTTAATAAAATAAAAAGAGACCAAGTTGCATTTTAAAAGTACCCAAACCATTCCCCTAGCAGATGGGGGGGCCCGGTCTGTTTGGAGACAAAACAGTTACTGCGTCAAACCCAGGTTCCCGAGGTGTAGCCAGGGCAAGTGGCTCCCTGCACCCAGGATTGAGAGCAGCCCCGTGCAGGGAAAAGGAACCTGGCTGGGCTTTGTCCTGTCTCTGGGATCGCTGCATATCACATAGCCCTCGCCAGGCTGCTGAGTGGGCTGATGCTGGCACCTCCTGCTTGCAGGAAAAGGAGAAACAAGGAGGGATATTTCAGGAAGGGGATCTTTGTGCTTTTCTAAACGGTAGGAGCCAATTCCAAATTCCCAAAGCCAGAGAGCAGAAAGCGCTCTCAGGGGATCCTGGGCGTTCTAGTTCAAACCCATGACAAGAGTAAACGTAAACGAGAAAGGAAAAGCAGCACAAAATGCAAACAGAATGGAGCCTGCGTGCATCACAGCGTAAGAGCCGGGCCAGGAGACAGAAATGGAGAAGGCTCCCAGCAGGGACAGCGTAGTGCACTGACCTGCCACAAATCCAGACTGTTATACAGCAGCTCTTTTACCAGCCCTGGAATGGGATGTTGCTAGGGAGGCCCCACGCTCCTGCCCCATTCCCTACAGTGCCTCCTGTTGGAAAGGCTGGGACTGACATAGCTGGGAGCCCCCCCCCGCGTCCAGCCAGCACTCCTGCCTCACTCCCTACACCACCTGCTGCTGGGGCAGGCTGAGACTGGAGCTTCCATCCCAATCATACATATTTGTAAAGAAAAATGATAGTGTTTTCTTGCCGTTCCCTGCTATTGGCTCTGTAGTGAGGAAAGAAATGGGGAGTGAAGCTGGAGACAAGAAAGTGCCAGGGAATAAAGCTCCGTTGTTCATAAATAATCTTAAAGAGAAGCCCCAAGTACCAGATGGAGCTAGGGCAGGAGTTAACCCCCCTGCACTCCTGGGAACTAGACCTGCCCCCTGCTCCCTTCCTGGGGCCATCTCAGGGAATTGAAATACTCAGACCTATTAAGGCAACAGGAGAAAGGTGCGGTGGAGGCCCGGAAAGCACCTCGCTTCCTCCAAGCCCACTCCAGCTCCTTGTCCAGGAAAAGCAGTTGGCAAAGGGAGTCATTGTTTCTCCCCCACTCCTCAGTAGGTTCATGAAGAGAAATAAAGCAAGTGCCCTGCAGTGGGAGAGGGGAGGAGGGCACAGTCTGTGCCACGGCCCCTAAACCTTCTGTACTGGGACCTCGCTGGCGGGCAGCTTCTTGCTACGCTTCTTCATGCGGCTGCGGGCATAGACACGCAGGAAGAGAGCCATAAAGACCACGGCCACGCCCAGCCCACCCACCACGGTGATGGCGTGCCCGTAGATGAGGCAGGAGAGCAGAATGGCAAAAGCTTGGCGCAGCGTCATGATGATGGTGAAGACGGCCGCCCCGAACTGATTGATGGTGTAGAAGATGAAGAGCTGGCCAAAGGCGGAGCAGATGGACAGCAGCACGGCGTGGACCGCGAACTCGGAGTGGCGGGCCATGAAGCGGGCTGATTCCAGCAGGGCGCCCTGCTCCAGCAGCGAGCCCATCGTGAAGAGGCAGGAGAAGACGTTCACCCCAAACATCATCTGCACCGGGGACATCTTGTAGGTGAAGAGGGCGTCCTGCCAGTTGGAGGTGAAGCTGTCGAAGACAATGTAGCCAGCCAGGAGGACCACGCCTGAGAAGGTGGTGACGGTGGAGAGGTGCTTGTCGGGGGCGCTGGAGAGCAGGAACATGCTGACCCCCACCGAGATAAGCACTGCCGTTAGGTACTCCCAGTACTCATAGCTCTTGCGTGACACCAGCTTGCCCATCAGCATGACTGGGATCACCTTGGAGGCCTTGGCCAGCACCTGGGTAGGGAAGCTGATGTACTTGAGTGCCTCGTATTGGCACCAGCTGCTGAGGATGTTGGAGAGTGAGGCAAAAGAATACTTGTACATGGGGGCGCCGTGGCGTGGCTGCTTGGTCAGGGCACAATACAGGCCTGCTACGGTGAAGGCCAGGATCCGGTTCATGAAGACCAGGAACTGGGAGTCTTTGAACTTCTCGCCAGGATTGGTCTCAGTGGCCCCATACGTCCGGGTCATGACACGCTCCTGGAGGACACCCCACGTCAGGTAGGAAGCCTGCAAGGCACAAAGAGCAGAGGGTGAGTGAGGAGTAGGGATGGCAGCCAGCAGCCACCACATGCAGGGAGGAACAGGCCTGTCTGAGCATCTCTCCATTTGCAGCCAGCAGGGACCTGGCCCCCCCCACTGCATACCCAATGCACCCAGCAAGGAGATGGTGCCTGCCGCCACCATCACGTCAGCAGTGAACCAGCCTGCCCAGCTACTTCATCCTCACTCCCACTGCCCCCACCAGAGAGCCAGGGGAGAAGTCAGCCTGGCTCCTGCCCAGCTACGTGCAGAGGGATCAATGGGCAGCATTTCATTACGCACAGATCTGGAGAGCACTCTCCACCCAAGGGCAGCTCCCCCTACAGTTAAGGCTATAAATAAATACCCAGTGAAAAACCAGTTCTGGCTCTCGAGTGCACAGCCACAAACTCAAACAACACAGGAAGTGACAAAGCAAGCATCCCAGCTGTCGCATTAACTCTGCCCTTGTGCACTTTATGGGATACACTTCACAAGATAAACAGTTCTGTATTAAGCTGGCCGTTTAACCAGAAAAACAGGAATAGACAACATGGCAAAGACGTGCCCAAGATCCCGATGTCAGTGGAACCTTCACGCTGCAGTTCCTGCTCTTTAACTCTGTAGCCTTGGTGGTGTATTAACACAGGTTTTCCTAGGTCATTTCTTAAATAAAAACCAATTCTAATTGCAAACCTAGCAGAGGAAACTGCCCTCCATGACGGCTAACATCTGTCCATCGATGTACTTACATGGCCCTGCTGCCACAGTATCGGAGCTCCTCTCAGACATAATGGAGTTATTCTCCTACCTCCCACTGTACCGCTAGGAAACTGACATACAGAGAGATAAAGTGACTTGCCCTAAACCACACAGGGAGTCTGTGACAGAACCAGGAACTGAACGTTGATCTCCTGAGTCCCCATCCAGTGCCTTCACCACGAGGCAGTTCCTCCTCTCATTGTTCAGGCGGCATTTCGGGCATTTTTCCCATAGCTGTGACTCAGAGAAGCAGGATCACAGTTTCCTATTCATCTCAGCAGAACTCAAACACCAGAGAGATTTTTTTCAGTTTCCTAATAAAATCTACCTGTGGGCAGAACCTGAGCTTAGGACATTCCAGTCCCAGAGGTGAGAACACGGGTTAAACTGTGTAGTGCTCTGATGCATGAAGCACAGTGCGGGGGGCCAAACAGCATTCAAAAACCACTTCTAAATGGCAGCAGCTCACCCATCCAGGTGTGTGGAGAGCAGATAGACAATAACTTCCAACCCACCCGACGCTGGCTGAATGGTTCTCCAAGACACCCAAAGGGCCACGCTGGCAACCAGCCTGGAGCACACAAAAAAGGAGTGCCCCACAGAGACTCCGTGTCCCAGCATGCAATGCTGCCAGGCAAAACTCCATGAGAACACTGGATGCTGGGACTCAGTCTCTTGAGGCCACCAACTGGCAACCTGTGCCAGGTCATAGCTCCATCTCCGCCCCATGGCAGGATGGCCATGAACACGTCAGGGCTCTACCTGGAGGCCAGCAGCACAGAAGAGCAGCTTGAGGACCTGCTGGGCCGTTGAGGACTCCATGGTCTCATTCCGGGCTGCCAGGGAGACATCATCTGGGTGTGCGGACTTGGCCTCGCTGCCAAAGACGCATGACTTGATGATGGGGAAGCAAATGCCACGGCCTGGAAGGTTGAGAGAACCAGGGAGGTCACGTTAACTCAGGAGGAAGGCTTTCTTCCCACCCACCCACCAACCTGTCTGGGCTGTGGCAAGGTAGAGCCTGGGGCCTTCTGTGGGCTGCATCTATAAAGCACCTTCAATTGGCTTGCTCACACCCCCCCCCCATCCTCCTTTGCCAACAGGGCCCTTCCCAGCTGAGAACAGACACTAGGCAGGTGCCCAGAGCCGAGAGCTCACCCATTTGCAGATCTGAGGGGCTCTGCACATTACCCACAGTGCTCTATGTTGGTTGCCTTTAACAGATTCCAGAATATCTAACAGGAAACAGCCACAGTTGAGATAAAGCCATGCAGATGAGCTAGATGAGTCTCCGGGTAGCCCCTAGCTGGCACTGAAGCAGTGAGAGAGCTCTGCAAGGGGCTCAGGGCTGGAACAACAGAGAGGTAGAGGAGCTGGGGTTTGGAACTGAGGTGCATTGGCGGAGGTCTGAGGCGAGCCCAGGGGAACAGAGGTTGGAATTGAGGTGCATTGGACCCCTCTTACCTGTCTCCAGGTAATTCTTTCTCTTGAAGTACTGGATGAGCAGAAACCCCGGTACCATGATGCTCGCATAGCCCGCAGCATTGAGGAAGAACCGGAAGAGCCAGAAGTCCCCCCACGAGTCCTGTAGGGCGGCTGATACGACGTCACTGGCAGCCATGGTGGGGACAGCAGTCAGCACGACAGCCAGGCACAACCTGCCAAGAGATGGCAATCTGGGCGGGGAGCTGCAGGGGGGGGCCACTGGCCCAGCCAAAAACACTCGGGATGTGCCACAGCACATGCGGCCTGTGGCAGATTTCCCCACCCCCCATGGCTCAGGAGCCATCCAGCGCACCAACGAACACAGAGATCAGCACTTTCCTATGGCTTTGCGAGGATTCCTACCACCTTCCCAGTCACCACGTCAGCAGCAAGCTGGGACTGTAAGATTCCCTTCCCCTGCTTTGAGAGTTACCCAGGTGCACCTTCAACACGGGACACTGTGATCAAAGTTCACCCCAAATGGAACATTGGTGTAAGTCACCAGGGAACACGGGAAACTTCTCAGTTTAAATGTGTCCTGGCTAAATTCCATTCAGCCTCCCCAGTTTCAGCTGGGCACAAGAGTCTTCCTCCCTTCTCATTCGGTGTTGCTGTGAGCCTGCCAAACAGTTGTTGCGTCCACCACCAGGGCGACGTTTTGGGGTGGGTGAAGCAATTCCAGTGTGCAGGGCGCTTGGAGGTCAAGGGCACAAGAGAAATGTTTGCTCAGGATTTCGGAGCCAGGATGTTTGCACCTCTGAACATTCAGGCTCTCGGAGTGTCTGGGATGGTGCTAGTGACATGGCTTTAGACACACACTAGCTCCAAATACTTTTCCTCTTTGGGGCTCTCACTGGCAGGTGTTTCATCTTCAGCCAATCTTTTATTGGGAGGAAAGGGGGAAGCCAGGAAATGGAAGCAGCAGCTCCTGTTTCAGCACCTTCCTGTAAAGCAAACAACAGCTGTGGCTCAGGGGAGGGCCCAGCTGGGAGTTCCCCCTCACACATCCTGCTGCAGCAGGTGGAGGTGGGACTGGGAGGGGGAAGAACTTCTGGGGCTCTCAGGGGAAAAGGGGAGAGCGGTGACCGGACACACACAGCTTAGAACGTGCAAGGCCATTCACTAGAGCTGAAATCACCAAGGCTCATCCTCAACGCCAGAGAGAGCGTCTGGGCATCTGGGCTCAGGAACTTTCCCATAGGCATCTGGGGTGGGGATTTTAACACCACCGTCCTTGGGAGTATCCAGCATTCACACAACACTGACTTAGCCACTAATCTGCCACCATTAACACAGTAGGGGTCCACAGGGACCGACTGGGGTTCTCCCCTCAACAGGATAGGCCCAGTATTGCCCTCACCTCTAACTCATATCCTGGGACAGCGTTACATTACAAGAACAGGAACAAGGCCTGCATGGAAGGTGGGGATCTGGGTCAGTGGATGCTGGGGTCGCTGCATCCCCAAAACAATGACTTTCTATATACACATCTGCCCATGGCAATTAGACTGGGTCAGAGCCACCTACTAACTGAGATCAGGGCAGTGGAGGGTCAGGACTCCTGGGTTCTATTCCTGGCAATTGCTGACTCAATCTATGGCCTTGGGCAAGTCCCTTCCCCGGTTCACGCCTCAGTTTCCCTGGTTGTAAAACAGAGATGATGATAGTCTCTTCCCTCAGGGGCTGCAAGCCTGAATTAATGTCTCAACTGCTGCAAGGTCCTCTCATGGAAGGGGCCAGAGAAGGGTAAAGTGTTCATTATAACAGAAGTGCATTGACGGGTCCCCTAGGGAGCCTCCTTAGAGGACACTGCAGTATCAGGGCTATGGGGATCATGGATATAAATTTAACCCTTAGCAGCCTAGAGGAAAGACAGGAAAGAAAGTTGCCTTTGACATCCCACCACCTACAACCCCTCCCTTCCCTCTCGGGGAAAGACCTGTGTGGCATTTCCGTTCCCCAAACAGCCTTGGGAAAAACAATGAGGAGTCCTTGTGACCTTAGAGACTTAAATTTATTTGGGCTAGAATCCACTTCCCAAACTGTAAGGACCTTGTCAAGATAGACACCACAATTTGCACAGAAAATTCCCTTCCTCATGTGACTAACAATACAGAAACTCTCAACTCAGAGAGAAGTTCAAACCACTGCTCCTCTCTGGGACTGCCTGGTTCATATGCATTAGCACAAGCTGCAACAGCTGGGTGCTGACAACAGGGGGACAGTTCGATAACCCTGGTTTCCCTAAGGAAGAGGGCCCTGAGAACATTTCTGTGCAGGCTGGGTTCTCGCTAGTGACATTGAGGGCATCACTGACTTAGCACCATCCCACAGAAATCCCACCTCTGCTCCCCTCATTAGCATCTCCTGCAGCAAGGGACACAGACACATGGGGTTCTTGTAATTTAACCCCTGGGCCCAACCGTAGACATGGGGTGAAAGTACATACACACCCCCACCTGATTTATCTGAATTGTCCTCATTCAAAATTAAATCCTCATTGATCACAGTGGCCCTGGTACTGTGGGCACTGGAGAGGGGCCAGCAGGAGAAGTGCCCCCTGCTTCATTGAGGTCAGATTTAAACTAGATTGAACTGCGGGATTGGGGTCAGGGCTAGCAGACATGGTGTGCCCCTCTCACCTGATACTTGGCCCAGCAGCTGTGCTGAGGACAGCAGGAGGGGTCAGCTGGGGCGAGAGCTAAGGTCAGCCTCCACCACTGGTAATCCCTAGGACTGGGGAGATTTCAGAGAGGGCGAGTGATAAATGGTTTGGTTGTTGGGTGGTGTCTGCTGATGCCTCCCTGCCCCATCCAGGCCCCCGTGGGAGGAGTAACAGCTCTGGTATCCCAGGCCCACAGCCAAGGGGAGGGTGCAGCCGGACAATGGCTCGTTCTATCCCTGCAGCTAGCAGGCCCCACCAGACAATTCCACACATCAGGTCCCTCCCCTCTCCAACAGGGTGGCTAGTGTTACAGGTAGCACCACACAGCCGCAGCTCGGCAGCACTCACCAGGCATGAAAGGAGCTTTCATAGGCTCAGGCCCACAGAGCAGCCAGGAAATTGGGCAGACAAACTCAGCTACTGTTCCCCTTCCCAGAGACGGGGCAGCTTTCTGACGCACAATCCCAGAGCCAGGGCGGGACAGAGCCCCTGACCCTCCCCTCCCGCTGGAGTTTCTAACTTAGCCTTTCAGGCACCTCAGTACTTGGGCCCTGGACTAGGAGTGCAGAGTAAAACGCACCTAACCTAGCTCAGCTCTAAGACCACAGGGAAGGGGAGAGAGGAACCCTTAGAACATAACAAATCCCCTTGCCCCATGGGCTCCTCACACAGCTCTGCTGCTCCTCGGTCACAACCTGCAACCCCCACCCTGCTGTTCCAGCCCTGGGTTCCCCCCACCCCCAGCTCAGCCAGTGCCCCATAATCCTGACCCACAGCCTCCTACTATCCCCATGCTGGGCTCCTCACATGCAGCTTCACCCATGCGCCTCACTCCTGACCACCCCATGCCTGACACAGCTGCTGGTGCCTATTTAGAGAGGCCAAACCAGATGTGAGTGCCATTTGCAGTGACTTTTCTTCAATTCCTTGTGGAGTGGGAGATCTCATGACCGGTTACGTTCATCCGCCCAGTGGGAGTTCCCATCCCACCCAATGGACAAGCCATAGCCCCTAGATTCCTACAGCTGACTGGCCTTGGCAGTGCCTGATCTGCCAGCAGCATGGAGCCTGGAGTGAGGGGGCGCATGGGCTGCAACAAGTCTCTCCCTCAGCAGCCTTCAGGGCCATGGTGAGCTTGGCAGACCTTATCTAGCTCCCTGTGCAGAGTATTACCCGCAGGACACTCTTGCGGTGGTGGAACAGAGGGTGTCAACATCACTCAGTCAACAAGGGAAGGGCCTGGCTCCAGGAGACCTTGGGCTTCTCTGGCCTGTGAGGGGACACTCTGATCTGGGGGGACCATTTCTTGCTTCAAAGGTTTTAAGGGGGTTTTAGGCTCCCCCCCCCAGAACTAACAGGTGGTGCCAAGTTACCAGCATTCTCCCTTTTTTGATTTGTCTAGTAGGGCCAGATTTTCCAAGAGAGCTCAGTGCTCTATAGAAAATCAGGCCATGAGCATCACAGTGGGAACTGAGTGCTACAGAAAATATGCTCCTGACTCTGGTGCCTCAGTGGTAACTGAGCACTTGATAATCTGGCCCCAAATGAGCATGCTGAGCTCTTTTGAAAAGAGCTGCCCCTCTGCAGTGATCAGGCCTGGGACAGTCCTAGCCAGGCCATGGGGACTCTGGAGAACACCTTAGGAGAAGGGAAAAGCTTGGAAACTAAGGGCTGTGACTGGCGGCTGAGCCCAGGGAAATCTAGTTCCAGCCAGTCCTGATCTAAGTGTCACATATCACCAGAGGAGCCATTCTCAGGGGGATCCCCTGAATTACTCCTTCCTCCAGCAGAAGGGTTCTCAACCTTTTCCTTTCTGAGGCCCCCCCAACATGCTATACAAACTCCATGTCCCACCTGTGCCACAACAACTGGTTTTCTGCATATAAATGCCAAGACCAGCATAAGGGAGTGGCAAGCAGGGTGACTGCCCAGGGCCCCGTGCCACCGGGGACACTGTGAAGCTAAGCTGCTCAGGCTTTGGCTTTAGCCCTGGGTGGTAGGGCTTGGGGCCCTGGGCTGCAGTCCTGTGCAGCGGGGCTTTGGCTTTCTGTCGTGGGTCCTAGTGAGTCTAAGACCGGCCCTGCTTGGCAGACTCCCTGAAACCAGCTGGCGGCCTCCCAAGGGGGCCCAGACCCCTCATTGAGAATCACTGCTCCAGCATACTGGAGACATTGGTCAATTTGCCCAGTGAGACCCAGACCCCGCAGACACCGAGCACCCCTAGAAAGCATGGAACCTACCCCCCACGCACACACACAGGCAACTTCCAGGGAAAAACCTCTTCACTGGCTCAATCCCACCAGCCTCTGGGGGCTCTACCCCAAAACCAGAGCCCTCCTTAGGGACTGCTGCTAATAAAGGCCTCGTCCTGGACACACATGGCCACAAGGACCCTGCAGGCCAGAGGCAGATGCCCTGCGCTGTTCCCACCACGCCACAAACGGAGATGTCACCACAAGCAAGGCATGGCTGCCCACTTCCCCAATTCAGGCTTGGGCCAAGACGTGGCTCAGGGAAAGGGCCCGCAGGGGCTAATCTAGTCGCCGGCTCCTCTAGGCAAGTGCCAGCCCTGCCTCGGGCAGCTGCCCAACCACCCACCTGTGGCCGGGGCAGGCAGCAGCGCTCGGGGCCCGCTCCCGCCCCAGGGGCTGCTGTACGGGGACACGCTGGGAGGGTGACAGCCAGGCTGAGCGCCCCGCTCCAGCACGGACTCGGGTCTGCCCAGCCCCCTGGAGCCGCCCAGCCCTGCAGCAGGGGCCAGCCCGGGCCCGGATCGGGACCTCCCCGGGGAGCCTGCCCCCGCCCCCGGGCTGAGCCCCGCTGCAGGAGGCGGCTGCCCCACAGCCCCCCCCAAACCGGCTCCGCTCCGTGGCCAGTGGGGCTCCAGCCGGGGCCGGCCGCTCCCCACACAGAGGCCCCCATAGCCGCTGCCCCCCGCCCCGGCGGGGCCCGGGCGCGGAGCCAGCGCTGCGGCCGGCGGGATCCAAGCTCCCCCCCGGAGCCCCCGCCCCCACCTGCGGCCCAAGCTGCCGGCCGGGCCGGTGCGCGCGGCTCCGCGGCCGCCCCGCGCGCCCATGAGCTCCCCGCGGCGGCTGCGTCCAGTCCGGCGTGCGGCGGCGGCGGCAGAGACAGGGACCGCGCCGCTCGGCCCAGAGCGCAGCCGCGCCGCTCCCCACAGCGCCGCCCGGCGGCCGGGAGGGGCCCCGAGGGCAGGAGCCTCGGGGAGTGACCCAGCCCGTGCCTCGGCCAGCGAAGGGGAAACGGCTTGGGGGGCAGAGCGGGGCAGCAGGGGGCTGCGGGTGGGGGTCGAGGGGCAGAGTGGTGGCAGCAGGGGGCTGCGGGTGGGGGTCGAGGGGCATCAGTGGGGAAGGGATAGTGGGGGGCAGCAGGGGGCTGTGGGTGAGGGTTGAGGGGCACAGTGGGGGGCAGCAGGGGGCTGTGGGTGAGGGTCAAGGGGCATCAGTGGGGGTGGGCAGAGTGGGGCAGCAGGTGCGGTCGAGGGGCATCGGGGGGGGAAAAGAGTGGGGCAGCAGGGGGCTGTGGGAGGGAGGTTCAAGGGCCTGATCGGTGCTGGGGGGGACAAAGTGAGGTAGCAGGGTACTGAGTAGAAGCAGGTTTAATTTTATTGGGGCCCAGGACACAGAACATTTGGGTCCCCCATACCCAGGGCCCCCGAGCACAGGCCACATGGGCCCCTGTGTTAATCCATCACTGCATAACTGCAACTCGCACAGCTGCTGGTGTCTCCCTCTGGGTGCAGGCTTCAGGAGCAGGAACAGCCTCCTGCTGCCTCCCAGCACCGGGAGTGGCTCCTTCACGCTACTAGCACAAGCTGCTTGGGGCTTGGCAGCGCCGACAAGCTCATGAGTCAGAAGCAGCCGCAGTTAGGCCAGAAGCTTGCCGGTCACCCCCATTCAGTAGCTTTAGTGGCCTTGCAGCCAGAGCGAGCCCCTCAGGGGCAGAGACTGCCTCCAGCCCCCCCAGGCCCTCGAGGGAGCACTGAGGCATGCAGGGAACATGGAGATAAAGTTCAGTCCAGAGCCTCCTGCACCAGCCCTGCACTGGGATTCAAGCTCCAGTGCTCACCACATCTCCAGGAGGCAGCAAGCATGGGGTCTCTTACAATGGGGGCTCATGCCTGGGGCAGGGAGCGGCTTTCAGTTCAGTCACACACCTTTCACCAGAGAGCTGGGCTGCAGGCAGTGGCTGCCCCAGAAGGCACATGGAACCCCGCTCTGGGAACAGCATAGCCTGCGCCCAACCTTGGCCCAGCAGCCTGGGGCAGCGGCCCAGGGCCAACAGAGCTCAACTGGGGTAAGGTCACACGCTGAAGTGGATTTGCCTTAGAGAGGCACTCGGATCCCTCCCCCCATGTGCCTGTGCCTGGGGCTGCTCCCTGAAGGACAGTCCCAGTCTGTTGGAGACAAAGCAGGGCTTCCAGGAGGTTGTAACCCATCACTTGCTCCCTCCTCCTCCCGGGACAGTGAGTCCCATCTCCACACACGGCTGTAGCCAGTGCAGCTTGGTGTCAGCTATCCACCAATCCCTGCCCCATGGGAAAGCGGGGAGATCTCTATGTGCCACTCAGTTCCTGGCCTCACTGCTGACAAATTGGGAGCCAATCAGTGCCCCTGGGGATGGGAACCTCAGGGAATAGGACCCTCCCTGCCCTTCCCAAACAAATTTCAATTAGGCCACCAAAGCAGCACCAGATCCCACTCTGGTTTCAAACCCATGGCCTAGAGATGAAATGCACCACAGAAGAAAAAGCCTTTGCCCTTTCCTAGCCCAATCACAGGATTCCAGGGTGCTTTACCCACTCCACTTCAGGAGGGGGAGGGCGTCCATCGTTCTCCCCATTGTATAGAATAGGATGCTGAGGCACCGAGGAGGAATTTACTCACCTAGGAACATCATAAAGTAGTTGCAGAGATAACTGAGGGATAGAAGCCTGAAGCCCTGGCTGCCAGTCTCCTCCCCTAGCCATCAGAATGGCCATTCTGGGTCAGACCAATGGTCCATCTAGCCCAGTATCCTGTCTTTCAATGGTGGCTGGTGCCAGATACTTCAAAGGGAAGGAACAGAAGGCAACTATCAAGCGATCCATCCAGTCAACCAGTCCCAGCTTCTGGCAGTCAGAGGCCTGGGGACACCCAGAGCATGGGGTTGTGTCCATGACTACCTTAGCTAACAGCTAGTGATGGACCTAGCCTCCCATGAATTTATCAAATTCTTTTTTAAACCCTATTACAGTGTTGGCTTTCGCAACATGCCCTCAACAAGTTCCACAGTGTGACTGCGTTGTGAGAAGTACGGTCCTTTTGTTTTAAACATGGTGCCTGTTCATTTCATTGGGTAAATAACACTTTCTTATTTGTTTTCTCCACACCATTCATGATGTTATAGACCTTTATCATAATCCCTTAGGCGGCTCTTTTCCAAGCTGAAAAGTCCTAGTCTTTTTAATCTCTCCTCCTAGGGAAGCTGTTCCATACCCTTAACTATTTTGTTGTCCTTCTCTGTACCTTTTCCGAGATGGGGCGACCAGAACCACACACCGTATTCAAGATGTGGGCATACCATGGAGTTATAGAGGCATTGTGGTATTTTCTAATTTATCTATCCCTTTCCTAATGGTTCCTAACATTGTTAACTTTTTTTGATGGCCGCTGCACATTGAGCAGACGTTGTCTGACAGCTATCCACAGTGACTCTCATCTCTTTCTTGAGTAGTAACAGCTAATTTAGACCCCATCATTTTATATGTATAGTTGAGATTATGTTTTCCAATGGGCATTTCTTCGCATTAGCAACACTGAATTTCATCTGCCATTTTGTTGCCCAGTCACCCAGTTTTGTGAGACACCAGTCCACACTCCCCTCCTGCAGTTGAGAATAGAGCCCAAAAGCATTGACTGCCAGGCCTCTGCTCTCACCACTTCGGTCCTCTGAGCCACACAAGGTCCTGCAGAAAGCTGTTTGGAATGATCCAAGTGCAACTTGGCCAACGAAGGCCCCAGTTTGTTTGTTTGCCTTTGGGACAAGGACCGAATGGGCAGCGCTCCAGCCTGGCACCCAGAATTCTCCAGGCCCTGTCCTAGCACACTGGTGGTCAGCCTCCACCAACAGGCTCAGGGCACATGTACTTCCAGAACCACAGCTCCAGCGTTTGCACCATCCTGCTGCCATGACTTCACCCCAGCTCCCAGAGCGCCTCCTTTGGGGGCTGAGTAGTGGCAGCCCCCCTGGGCTGGCTGCTTCCTCTGCACAGAGCCATGAGAGAGGGGAAGAAGAGTGGTATCAATACCGAGATAATTTTCTACAGGATTGATCCCTTTATTCTTTAAATAACATTTGAATGCCCCCTCCCTAACCACCGGCAACAGCTCAGGCCATAAGTGCTTCCCTAGCATGACACCAGAGCTCCCCCGTCACCAGAGCATCCAGCAAACCACACCTTGCCAGGGGCTCAGGACTGAGAGACCTAGCCACGCAAGGAGCACTGGCGAAACACCAACGTGGGGAGGTGCTGCAATACCATCAACAGCCACAAGGGGGCAGCACAGAACAGATTATTACTTTTTTCCTGAGACCTTGTTTTAAAAAGGGAAACCAGAGTATTTTAAAAGGCTCTTACATCCCACCCCCTACACTGTTCTAGTCCTGGGCCTTTCCTGGGCAGACCCCACCAATCACATCAAAATGAAGATGGAGCTAGTTTGAGCAGCTCCAGAGCCATTGCCACTAGATTTTGGCTGAGGCCTTTAAACTCAACTCATTTGTGACCACAGCAGGGTGTAAGTGCTAAAATACCTGGGGGGGGGGGGGAAGAGGAGCGAGAGAGATAAAGACAGCCAATGATTTGAGCTGCCCAGAGGAGCCGCAGAGGCTGCGGCTAGGCTCACGAAGTGTTTGCTAAGAAGTTTTGCAGCTTTTCCTGGCAAAACTATTGCAGCTGCCCTTCCAAGAATTCAGGAAAAGGGAACAGGCTCTCCAGAGCATCCCGGGTGATTGCGCCATCCAGGACTTGCCCCCCACAATAAACAGCTATTCCAAAGCTGTGAGAATGTCACCAGCTTACATGGGGTCACAGGCACCATGGCTCCCCCCCTGGCTCCCAAATGCTACACTAGCTACACCAGGGGTGGCCAACCTGAACCTGAGAAGGAGCCAGAATTTACTAATGTACATTGCCAAAGAGCCAAAGTAATACATCAGCAGCCCCTCAGCAGCTCCCCCTGCCCCCAGCACCTCCCACCTACTGGCAGCCCCACCGATCAGTGCCTCCCCCTCCCGATCAGCTGTTTTGTGGCCTGCAGGAGGCTCTGGGGGGGGGAGGGGGAGGAGTGAGGACACTGTAGGCTCAGGGGAGGGGGCACGAAGGGGTGGAGTGGATACAGGGTCTGTGGCAGAGCCAGGGGTTGAGCAGCGAGCACCCCCCGGCACATTGGAAAGTTGGCGCCTGTAGTTCCAGCCCCGGAGTCGGTGCCTATACCAGGAGCCGCGTATTAACTTCTGAAGAGCCGCATGTGGCTCCAGAGCCAGAGGTTGGCAACCCCTGATCTACACACCTGCCATAGGGAGGCAGCCATGCTGGGGGTGGGGTGGGGACACACATGGCAGCCCGAAGAGGGGAAGTGGCTAATCATCAGGGGAAGAACCCTGGGCCCCTCTCCAGCCTCTTCCATTGGAGAATCTCCAGGTCCTTTACTGATGTCAGTGGATTAAGCTCCTCACACACAAGCGTGTGCACTCTGCTCTGCAGGGTGGGTCAGTGTTGTTAAACCCTTTCAGAGGGGGAAACTGAGGCACAAGGAAGGGAAAGGCACTTTGTCCAGGGTGATGCAGCCACTCAGTAGCAGAGCTGGGGATAAAACACCAGGTCTCCCAGCCCCTCCCTCCTCTGAGTCTAGCTACGACTACAGCTGGGAGTGCAAGTTGTCTGGACGGAACTGCCCAAGCAGGGAGCAGCATTAGCTAAGCTGGGCTCACATAGGGAGACAGACAGGGAATCTCAGGGAGCAGGGTATGGGATTTCCTTGGGAAGAGGCAGAGGGGCCCCTGCACTGGGTTCTGCGCCCCTCTCCAGAAGGAAACCTGTACCTCCCATCCAGCTCCACCCACAGGAGGAGGGCTCCCTCCTGTTCATCTTCATGTCCAGTCTGGCCCTGCTCCCTCCTGGTTGGGGAGGGGCTGGCTGGGGTACAGGGCAATTCTGCTCATGGGGGTGCTGAAGCCTTCAAGCGGCAAGAAGTCAGAGCGCGCAGCCCCCAGTGGTCACTGAGGGAATCACGAGGTCCTGATCTTGAGTGTACAGAAGAAGGGTTTATGGGAGTCTGCGTCTCCTGGGGAAGGGCAGTGGGAGCCCCTGCAACTGCTCCAGCAGTGTCTGGAGGTGTGGGGGAGAAGCACTCCCTACTGCACAGTCTGGGACCAGGAAACACCCCCTCCCAGCTGCTCCTCCATGCAGTCTGAGACCAGAGCTCCCTGCTGGCCACTCCCATTGCAGGCAGGGGAAAGAGCAGCAGCAGCCCCGACGCATCATCCGAGGGTCCCATGCAGCGCATGCAACTTCCTCCAACTTCCACCTGCTCAGGGAAGGGTGTTTGGGTGGAGAGCTGGGGGCCACGGAGCCCACTACAAGGGGAAAGATTTCCTGAGCCGGCTCCACTCCTGCCAGCTGTAGTGCCATGGCTGGGTGAGTGGGGTCCATCGGGCGTAGGGAGCCAGGGGCGGACCCCTCAGTCAGAGTCTGGTCGCTCAGTCGGAGAACACCACCAGCTTCCCCGAGATCTTCAGGTCATCGAAAGGCAGGAGGGCGAGGAGCTGCCAAGGCAACAGGCATGGAGAGGTCAGGGTTAGTGCCAGAGAGGCCAAAGGAGAGCAGGTTCCCTGGGGACTGAATGCATCTGGAGCCAGGGCCAACACAGCCCAGCCATCCCACACACCCCAGGGGAAATGCACAACTAATGGCGAGTTAGCGCTGATGAGAGTACACAGCACACTGCCATGCCCCTCTAAGCAGGGTGGGGACAGACACAGCAACTACACACTCCCCCCGAGAGCCCTACGGCACCTCCTGCTGGACTGGAAGCAGCCACCGTCTCCAGCATTCCTGTCCCAGGGCCACAGCCTCCTCCCTGGACACCCCATCACATGTTCCCCCCACAGGGGAGCACACGGACAGACTCACGTCATCATTGCCGTCGGCCAGGTCCTGGGCAGTCTCATCTTCCATGTTCCTCAGCAGGGTGTCAGCCCCTGAGTGGTACAGTATGGCCGCCATGGCAGCATCCTTCCTGCCCACGGCCAGGTGTAGCGGGGTGCAGCCGTTGTACATCAGGGCATCCACGTGGGCCCCCTTGCTGAGCAGGTACTGAACTGCCTCACGGTCACGGCTCTCCACTGCCAGGTGCAGGGGCGTCTTTCCACTTGTGCCGTCCTAGAAACAGCAGTGCCCAGTGTGTTAGAATGGGTTCACGCTTTGTCCCGCCCCTGCAGCTGCCAGTGTAGGGCCCAGGGCGAGGGGATGGAACCCCAATGGGGCGCACAGACTGTATCACAATGGGCACCTGCCACCAGCCTGAAGGGGACCTGCTGGCCCTGCCCTCTGCCTGCCACCAGGCAGATCTGGAGAGGCTTCGGCATGGAGCTGGGAACGTCCATTTGGGAGTTTGGTGCCCGCCAGGGCCCATGCCCCATCTAACCTGCAGCCGCCTGGGGAACCAGCTTCCAGAAACCGGGAGGGTATAGAGACTCCTCAGGACACTGATCTGGGGAAGGTGCACAGAGCAATACAGCTGGCAGTGCCAAGGCCAGCTGCCCTCACCCACCAGCCCGTGTACTACCTGGACGTTAATGTCAGCTCCACTCCGCAGCAGCAGTCCCATCAGCTGCAGGTTCCCCTTCAAAGTGCTGATGTGCAGACAGGCTAAGCCTGGGGAGGAGAGAGACCCAGAGGCAGCTATTATTGTACTGTATTCCTGTAGCGCCAAGGAGCCCCAGTCGCGGACCAGAGCCTCATTATCTAGTGCCGAGCACAAACACTGCACAGAGAGACGGTCTCTGCCTAGGGCATCTCAGCGTGGAGCCTAGCACCCATCACACGCCTACCCTGCAGCTACGGAGCTGGGCACCGCCTCTGACACCCCTGCCTTGCTTCTCACCTTGCCAGTTCTGGAGCTGCAGGTCCTGCAGGCTCCTTCGAGGCTCTGTGCTCGCCCCCAGCTCCTGCAGCAGCTGTTTGGCGCACTCCAAGTTCTGCTGCTCGCAGGCCACGTGCAGAGGGGTGTTGCCATTGCGGTCCTGCAGGTCCAGGCTGACCCCATTGTGCATCAGCGCCCTCACCACACCAGGCTGCTCAAGGTACACGGCCAGATGAAGTGGGGTCTGTGGGCAGCAAGACAGTGAAGGGTCAGGGGTGGCATCGGGAGGGCACAGGGGCCCCACAGGTTGGGGCAGTTGGCAAGGGATGACAGCAGTGGGCCACCCCTGGCAGGGCCCGCGGAAGTAGTACAAGCTACCAACCGCCACAGCCTCCCCTGGGTGAGGGAAGTGGGAACACCGCAGTCCTCACTCCGGGGAGGTTGGGGGGGAGATCCAGGCAGCTCCACCCCCAGGGGTGCTCATGTTGGCTTGGGGCCTCTGATAACTATGGGGCTGCATACAGTGCCGGCCTGAGTGTCTGCATTTTCAGGGTCCTATCTGGGTACCCCACACACCAGCCAAAGGCAGCTGTCTGCATAACTTGCTTCAACTAAGGCACCCCAAATACCTGCAGCGTTGACCTGGGGGGTGAGAGCATCACAGATCCTCAGGGGGCCAAGGCACTAGCCTTGGGGGCATGAGGAACAAGGCCAGGGCCTGGGGGAATGGGGGTGTGGGGAATGGCTAATCTGGACAGGTCCACCTGCTAGGCCATTCCTGAGGGCTGACGGGGGATCACCCGGATTGGAGCACCCTCCTCCCCCAAGTACATACCTGGAACAAGTCGTTCTGGATCTCCAGCACCTCCGTGGGCAGGTGGGTGATGCAGAAGAATGCCAGTGCTGGGAAGCTATGGATGATTGCCAGGTGCAGCAGCCTGCAGAGGAGGAGATGGGTCAGTGCTGCGGTTCCCACACAGCGCCCAGCCTGTCGCTCCCACACCACTACCCCACAGAGACACAAACGCTTCCATGCCCCCAGCCCTGGAACTGGGAGAGGAACCCCTCAATGCCCATGCCACATCAGCCTGGCACAGACATACCCACCCAGCCAAGGGAGCAGATCCCCAAGGTGCCCAATTCCTGGTGTCGGGCAGAAGGGAATGGAGCAGCTCCCTGCCAACATGGGCCACTTAGAGAAACAGGTTCAGTGATGGTGGGTTCACTGGCCTCCACCCACTCTCCAAACAGGTTCTCCCGAGCACAGGCAGGGTGGGCAGAGCTGCCTTGCACAGGCTAGGCCCAGGTCCAGCTAGGGGTGGTTCTATGGCCCATTTGCAGGGGTGTTACCAGGTGACCCCAACTCACTCACTTCTACCCCCTAGCATTCCCCACCTGAGCTCAGGACAGTCACCCCCACTGCAGCCAGCCCGAGCGTCCCATGTGGACAGTCTCGACGGGCATGCAGATTGGGGCCCACAGAGAGGCAGCCTGAGACAGATCATGGGCAGAAGGGACCCCATTCATCCTAGGAGTCCAAAGAGCCTCACAAATAATAGAGGTCCCCCCACCCCTTGCCAGCTCAGCAGCCAACAGAGAGGTGGCTAAGGAGGCCAGAGCGAATGCCAAGTCCTATTAGCAACATGAGGGGATCCTTATGCCTCTGCAGAGCCCATGAGAGCTTGGCCCTCCAGCTCCTGTCTGAGACCCAGACCCAGCAACCCAGACAGACTCTCAGAGGCAGGAAGGGTAGAGTCGTTCCTGCTAGGACACAAACCCTAGGGAGCCTGGAATACATCCCCCGGACCCAGGGAGATGCGGCAGCAAGGGAACCATGACCTAGTGCTGGCCAGCAGCTCCTAGGGGAATTCCACTCCCTCCCCCTCCCTGCAGCCACAGCACTTCTGCTTTCCTGACTCAAGGGCAGGCAGCAGGGGCGTGGGATACAGTGTGGGAGGGATCCAGGAGATTAGCTGAAGACCACCTGCCATTCTCTGGAGTCCCCTCATCCACCGAGACAGAGTGGGTTGCCCCAGCTCAGACTGGTCTGGGAATGAACTGGGCCAGGGTCCGCAGGAGAAGAGAGAAAAATCAGAACTGGATTACCAGACCCCTCCCCCCAACCCCATGGGACCACCAGTGCTGGGTTAGGGGGCACAGCTGACCAGATGGAAATATATCTGCCAAGACTAAGCACCCGCCACTGTCTGCTGGAGCCCGCAGCCCCACCTGGGCCCAACTCTCAGCCCCCACAGAAATCTGCACAGAAGACTGGAGCCCAAGGCCCCAGACACCAAGAGACACGTGTGAGAGCCCACGAGCTGCACTCGTGCGAGTTTCACACCAGTCCTTGTCGCACCCCGAGCAGTCAGAACAAGAGTGAGAAATCTGAAGGGAATTTCCAGTCCCGCACAGAACGTCTGTCATTACTTCAGCGCCAAAAGCCACCCCCAAGCAGAGCTATGAACCCCTCCTGAACTCCCTCTCTAGCCAGACCTGTCCCCCATCTCCCCAGAGCATCTCCAAGGCCTCTAAAGATGGAAACAGTAACGCCACTCTAGCTTCAAGGACCCACTCCCAGGCTGCGGGACAGAGAGCTGGGTTAGCATGTACTGCGCGGGAGGGGGTGAAAATGAGGGGGTGGTTGCATGTGTGCTACAGGCTAAGCCAGAGGCAAGTTTTGCATTTTGTTCTGATCACAGTGAGGTCTCTGATCTCCTGTGGGAGTCTGTTTCAGCCTCAGGCCACCTCCTGCGAGAACTCTGGCTCCCACATGGTGCGGGACGGCCCAGTGGTGAAGGGAAAGCCGATTGCCAGGGGAGGTAGGCCCAACCTCAGGGAAGGCTCTGAACACCACCACAGCGTCCTTGAACTGGACTCGGCATTCACTGCAGAGCAAAGCACCAGGCTGATGCAATGGTGGGGATGGTGGCTTTGTTAGCGACATACTGCTCTCAGGGCAGGTGGCATCATAGTGTGTTGCAGTAACGGTGCCGGGAGGCCAGGGACAGGCGAGGCAGCATGGCCAGCTTGGGGTCTCACTGGAAAGGACACAATCTTCTGGCAGGTTGCAGGTGGGAGTGAGGGGGAGACACTGGGGCACTAACAACACTGAGGAGTCCTGAAGCCACAGGGGGAAGTTATAGAGGAGGTGCGCCTGGGCTCAGCTTTCACCAGCTGCTCCCTGTCCAGGTGTCACCACGGGCCAGGCATGGAGAAGCTGCTGTTCACAAGTAAGATAAGGAGAGCTGCTCATTTACTGGGGGCACCTCAACCCCTCTGGTCTCGGCAGCTCCCCAAGGTGACTACTGCAGCGTAAAGGCTGGAGTGCTGGGGGGCCCCCAGGGGAGGGCATGAAAGGTGGAGGGCCAGGTGTCCTGGATGGCACACTGGGCCTGGTGGCCCATGTGACTGGTAGTCTCTTGAAGGGGGATGGAGAGAGAGACTAGTTCGGTCTGGAGGAGTTCTACATGGGGCGACTTTGGTGCCTTCTTCTGGGCCATGCTGGAAGCTTATCCCGACCTCATTGCTGAGCAGGAACAGCAGCTCAGGTCTGTCAGCAGCCAGGATCCAGGGGACCCCAAGCTGGTCCCCTTCAGGCAGAAGGAGCAGCAGGAAGAGCCAAACCAAGCCTCTGTGCCTTACTGCATTGTCCCGGGGGAAGCCCCAGGTCACATGGGCATGGGGAATTCCCCGGCTGCACTGGAGGGAGTGGCCACCCACAGTTTGAGCAACAAATGGGGGTGGGGGAGGGGGCCCCTTGCACAGCTAAAGCTCCCAGCTTAGGGGGAAGAGCAACTGACAGCTGTGCGTATGGGGCATTCAGCAAGGAAAATACCTACTGGAACCAGCCTCTGGTTGTCGGGGGGAAAGAGAGAAGCAAGGTTTCCACTGGAGGGTACTAGGGGAAGGGGGGCTGTGGGGGCTGCTGGTCAGGACAGAGGGGCATTGGCAGAGCTGTGTGTAGCTCAGCGGGCATGGCAGTAAAAGCATCTGGGCCCCATTTACCTAGCAATTGCACCATTACCAACACCAGGGAAAAGACACTGGGAGACTACCAGACAACCTCAGCATAGACAAGGTCCTTGGTGGCTCCTGCAGCTGTGCCTCCCTCCCCATTTACCAGGGACAGCCCCTGTTTCTATAAGCCAGCTCCCACTGCGTCCCTCCCAGTCCCCCTGCCAGCAGGGCTATAGGCGTGGCCTTATTTCTCAGCCCCTATGCATTAGATAAGAAGTTTTAGCAGATGGGACTTTCCAGGGCAATTCTGACTGAACTTTAAACTTCTGCTGCTTTCACTTTTCGGAGCCAAACAGCTCCCAGGAGACTGAGGCCAGGCCCGGCATGAAAGTACATGGAGCCCTCTGTAATTCCTACCAAGCCAGTCCCCACCCTCAGGAATCCCCCACCCCCCAACACACGCACCACATCATACCCAGAACTGGTAGTCGGGGAAAGGTGGGCCAGTCACACGCTTAAGGCTGAAAACCCAAGTCTGTCAATCCGCCCCCAGCTCTCAGTAGAACGGTTTTGGTTTAAGGTGACTGCGCTGAATGACCCTGGCCGAGTGAGGGGACTCACCTTCCCTGCCCGTAAAACAGAGGGAATATGACTGCCCCACCTTTAAAGCCCTGTAGAGCTCTTTGAGGACCGGCATGTAAAGGCACTAGGGACTAGCAACCCACTGCATGTCTTGCTGAATCAGTGCCTGGGACTTTCACCGGGAAGTTGGTGCCATCTAGGCCATGCCTTGTTGGGAGTATTTCCCCTGCCCCTGCACTCTGTCTCCCACCAGTCTCATTTCCGCATTTGTTCCCCCTGTATCATGTGGCAGTCCTTCACTTCCTGAAACAGGCATAGAGATCCCAACTGTCTCAAGTTCTCCGCGTGCAGAACCAGAGCTGAGGGATGAGCCAGCGGCATGAAAGGTTGGTGCCTCGGCCCCATTACAGAGCAGGGCATCATGATGATGCAAGCGAGGGATCAGGATTATCTTGTGCCAAAGCGGGAACCCCCTGACCCTGCAAAGCATGAGGCACAGAGGCCTCAGCCTTCTTTACTCTTTCCTAGGCCTCAATATTGCCAATGATGACCATACAGCTCCAAGAATACCACTGGTCTGGCCAGCTGCCTCACCCCACAGCAAAGAGGACAACACCCAAACTCACACCTGAGGAAGAACTCTATGCAGCTGGAAAGCCTGTCTCTCTACCTAACAGAAGTTGGTCCAATAAAAGATATTTCCTCACCCACCTTGTCTCTCTAATACCTTGGGATGGACATGACTACCACCACAATTATTAACATAAAAAAGGCTTTGTTGCCAAGCAGTTGAGGTTGCCACACACACACATTTAACACAAACCCCAAAATCAAGGAAATGGACAGGCAAGCCACCAAGCAAAAGATACCCTCTACTCCTTCACCTGCAAGCATATGCCTTCCCATTGCCACAGCTACCATACACCACCGACCACACACCACACCCTTAACTCAGCCCCTCTTTCACAGCTACCGTACACCACCGACCACACACCACACCCTTAACTCAGCCCCTCTTTCACCCCTCACAACTGCTAGTGTTCGGGGGAACTAAGCTGGTGGGACAACTGAGGTAGTAGGCTGTTGCGTTGGGAGAGGGGAGCTTGGGAAAGGGGTGTGTGCAGAAGGACAGTTAAGGGGGGTGATGGAACTGCAAAGGGCGATGGTAGTGTGGCCCTGTGGATAGGTCATTTGATTGGCATTCAGACCTGCCACCAGTATGCTGGGTGATCTCGGGCAAGGGGACCCTTCCCCTTCCTCAGCCTCCATTTCCTCTCACACCATTTGTCCCCCTTGTCTATTGAAATAGCCAGCTCTGTGTTTGTCCTGGGGCCCTGTTGTATTAGGCACAATCTCAGCTGGGGCCTCTAGGTTCTATTGTAGCAGAAATAATAAT